TGTGTTGGGAGGTTGAGTGAGCTTTAAGACATGCTCAGAATTTACTTCATTCCAGAACATGGTTATGGCCTTTGGACATGGGGACTTTGCAAATGCCATTAGTTAAGGAAGATACCACTGTGGCTTACACATGACCTAGATCTTCAATTTGTACCCCAGGACAAGCTTTAATTTGGTTTTTTTTTAATCCTAGACTCTGTAAAAGCCCTTAACTGATGGTCAGACTCATTGCTACAGCCTGTTACTATTCCTACCGCTATTCCTATGTTCTCTTTGTCTTCTCTGTCCCAGCTTCTGGCCCCTTCTGGAAATCATGGTGGTCATGATTGGGGGGTGGGGGGAACACTACAGTTGGAAGATACTGTGGAAGAGGCCAAGGTTGCATGTCAATACTCTGAAAGGCTCAGTGACAGTCCTTCATGCCAAAGGATGGGTACACCTTAAATGTCAACTGTACTAACACTGAGAAACTGAGTTTGAATAAAATACCTATGCTTTCAAGTCAAGCGCTTTACTAACCTATCTATCTCTTCTGCCCACACACCTATCTTTTTTAACCCTGGAGGCTTGTCTTTGTCACATGGGTCTTGGGAGCTCTATAGATGAGTCATGGATACTGAGACTCAGAGTGGCTGGGTTCCCTGCAGTCACTCAGAAGGCAAGTGACCAATCAGAGGTGTGCTCAGGGTCTGTCTCTGTCTGTCTCCAGCCTCCACACTAAGCTGCAACATTGGACACTTTCAGGACATGAGCAACACCTCACAGAACACTGGGCATGTGCCTTAACTTTTGCCCTGCTGACTAGAGCTGTCAGATGTGTCTTGTAGGGTGCTTATGAGCATCTTCTGCATCCCTAGATGTCAGAGGTCCCAATCCTACATATCACAGTCTAACTGTCTCAGATATTGCCAGGTATTCTCTGGGGAGAGATGACATCTGGCAGAGCCATAGTTCCGGGGCCACTGAGTAGTAGTGATGCTCTATCCCTGAAACTTTGTGAAATAGTAATAAGTTCAGTAAAGTTTGGTATTAACAGGATCCCTGGGACAAGCCAAGGCTTGTCAGACAACCAAGGAACCCTTGGACAAACAAACCCCAGAGAATTGCTCCTGTGTCCTGGAGCCTGAGCAGGGATCTGGTTACATAGGGGTCAAGTTACCCTTTCATCCCATGCCACAAATTTGCAGCTAGGTCCCTGGGATCCTCTCACTGAGTTTATGCCTGGAGATTATGACAGGCCACACTGGAAATATCACAGAGTCTTCCCTTAAATACCAAATCATTAGCCCATCATTGCTGGTGTCTAGCGATCTATGGACATAGGAGCTCCTGGAAAAGACATGCTAGGCTATAGACTGAGGCAGCACCCTTAGGGAGGCCATCATGGGCATTGTGGATCAGGTACAGACAGCCCTGCACAAGCTGGCACTTAGTGTTTGTTACATTTGCCCCCATTTTAATAGGCTCAACCGTCCCTTTCCAGGAGGTCATCTTGTTCAAAGTCACCCCAACCCAATACTGTTTAGCACAATGCCTGGATAGTATTTCTGCATCTTTTGCTGTTGGTTTCCTCCATCAATGGCAGGTTCGTGAGGGTGGGTCCTCAACTGTTTTATTTCCTGTCACCTTTGTCTCAGGACAGCAATCAGTCTTCACCGAGTGAGTTAGCCTGTGATTTATGAAGACACCAACTGTGTACTGTCAACGCTTGTATGATTCAAGGATCAAGAAGAACAACTTCAGGCACATGATCCATGCCATGTCCCCAGCTATGAGACAGCTTTATTTTAAAGGTAGGGGACTAGATACTTTGTGATGCCACCAAGACACTGGCAATACAGATACAGCATCTATATCTTCCACAACCCTTGTTCTGGGTATCTGTGGGCTAGCTGCTCACTGCGCTTCTCCAGTGTCCTGACCCTTCATCTTCCGAAGGTACCTCAAGGTAGAAAAGAGGTCTTCACGGACAGATGCTGAGGCACTGATGAAGCTACATATGGGGCAGAGAGAGGATAGATCCTTCAGCCTTGGAAGCCTTTTTACCAGGCCTGCTGGCTTGCTTTCATGGCCCAGCATTTCCAGGCAGAGAGATTCACAGTGTACTGCCAGGAATCTGGGCAAATGACTGCAAGAAGCCACTGTTAATACAAAAGAAATCAGGGCTGAAAAGCCCTTGTGTATGTTGAGTATATTTAGACATATTTATGTATAAGTGTGTGCATGTGCTTAAGGTCATGTACACGTGGAAGAAGCCACAAAAAAAAAAAAGAACCTGGGACACTGTTATACAGAATATCTGGGGTCCAGAGAGACTGGCTCCAGAGTTTGTGTGTATGCTATATGTGTGTGCATATATATCTGTGATTATATTCTATGTATACATGGGTGGTTTATGTGTGTATGTCTATGAAAATATTATTTGTGTGTGCATGGATGATGTGTGTATGTGTTTGTGAATATACTGTGTGTGAGTGTTTGGATTATGTGTATACATGCACGTCTGTCAATGAACTATGTATGTGTATGTGTGCATGTCTGTGAGTAGATTGTGTGTGTGTGTGTGTGTGTGCGTGCGCATGCGTATAGCACATGAGAGTAGAAAGGGGACGAAGAGGGAGGAAGAGATCTAAAGGGAGGGGAACAAGAGAAGGTGGTGAAATTTGTGTGACAAAAAGGAGGGCAACTTGGAGTGGAGAAGAGGACCAGCCAGGGCATAGGTGGATGGATGGGAAGAGAGTGGGGAAGGGATTGGATAAGAATAGGCATAGTGACACATAATAGCACCATACACATGAAAATATATAATATATATGAGAATATATATGGAAACCCATTACCTTTTATAGTAACTAAAAATAATTCGAAAGAATCAAAAATAATTCTAAAGTTCATGGGGGCTGAAGAGATAGTTTTTTTTTTAAAAATATTTATTTATTTAATTATGTATACAATATTCTGTCTGTGGTGTAGGCCAGAAGAGGGCACCAGACCTCATTACAGATGGTTGTGAGCCACCATGTGGTTGCTGGGAATTGAACTCAGGACCTTTGGAAGAGCAGGCAATGCTCTTAACCTCTGAGCCATCTCTCCAGCCCCTGAAGAGATAGTTTTGAGGGAACTAGCTGCTCTTATGACCAGAGTTTGTTTTCCAGCGTCCACATGGAGACTTGCAACCATCCGTAAACTCCAGCTCCAGGAGATCCAACACTCCCTTCTAGCCTCTCTGAGCACACACACACGAACACACATACACACACACACACACACACAGAGCTAAAAATAAAATCTCTCATACTAAAAAGTCTCATACTAAAAATAATATGGATGGCCTGATGTCATTCTTACAAATGTGTGCCCATTTGTATAAAAGAAACACTGGTTTGTACATGTTAGACCTGAGAACAGCCATCCTCCCCACAGGGCCAAGTTGACAGATTGGACAGATTGAGTGACCCAGACAGGAGCCATTAGGGAGTGGTAGCCATTGGCTGATTGGCAGGTATCTGTTTAGGGGACACTTCCTAGAGTGCTTGGATGGGGGAACATGGATCAGTGTGTCGTATCTGTTTGGACTCTCCCAAGATGCCAGAGAACTCCCAAACTTGTGGTCAGTTACTGCCCATTACATAAGGCCAGAGTTTCCCAGAGCCAGGGTTCCTCCCCCAAGATACCACTAGCTACATACTCATGTATCACGAACCCTATCTACACCCATTTATGAGATGGCATTCAAGATATGGGTTTAGGAAACTACTGGAATGGTGGCTGCTCTGTACTGGACCCAGGAACCCCATTTTGTCACACAAAGCCATGACAATGAAAACATCTAGACCCAACCTCTTGCACATGCGGCAGAATGGGCACTGGTTCCATGTACACTCCCCGCTTCGCCCCACAGTGTGCCAAGTTGCACATAGGAGCTCTTCAGAACTGGTGACCTCAGACTAGAGCCAGAATCCCAGGGATGAGGCTAGGAGATGAACCTAAGCCCTGGAAAAGAGCACGGTCCTGAGGATATGAGCCCAAGACCCAGAGGGAGGAGCTAGGTTCTGCAGATGGGGCTGATTGCAGGGACTCACTCCTACACTAAAGCTGCCTGCTCTACACCCCTCTTGCTGATTGGACACTCTGCTCTGCTGGGTCAACAGCCAGGGGATGACCACCTCCTGCTTCATTTCAGGAGGCAATTTTCATTTTGAACACACTTATTTCCCTAAAGATACTGATTGCATCCCTGGAAAGATCAGCAACGGGCTCCATGCCATTACCCCTTATGTGAAGTTAAAGGTTGCTCTCTGTGTAACCAACCACGGTGGCATTTATTTCTGGATTTGCTTCCCACCTGGCTTTCTTAGGCTGAGAGGTAGCTTCTCTGCCTCTAGGAAATTAAGCGGATGTGGAATGGTCCTCCCAACAAGTGGCTGCCAACCGAGATCCTGTGTTGTTCCATCAACATCTCCCATGCCCCACCTACTACCAGCCCAGCTCAGTGGCAACCTCTGCCCCCTGCTTCTTTGAATTCAGCTCAGAGAAGATTTAGGTCTCCTGCACTGCATGGTGAGTATAGTGAATAAGGGTAATTAATTTGAAAGTTTCTAAAGGAAGAGATAAGTAACAGTGGTGTGAGCGAATGCACGTGTTCTCAGTCTCTCAGAGGAATTTCTTGAGGTAGATTTAAAAAAATGTTCTTTATGGTAAATAGATTTAAGCTTAATTTGATAAATAAATGCAAGAAGGGGGAAGAAGGAGAGAAAAAAGAATGAAGAAAGGAAGAAAGAAGGGAGAAAGGAAGGAAGGAGGGAGCAGGAAGAAAGGATAGAAGTGATTGAGATATCTGAAAAATACAATTGCACGGTGCAGAATGAAGAAGTGGGGGCGGAATGGTGAATAAAGCCACTGCCAGTGTGGGAACCTGAACCCCATTTGAGCCTCTCACTTCAGTATACACTTTCCCAGGGTCTGAAAGGCTGGAACAGATCCCCGGCAGGCCCACGTACCTTGATGACATCCTCATCCATGGCCTTGCACTCCACCAGCTCTGAGATGTCCCTTACTGTGCTGTTCTCCTCCACCGACACCACCCTGACAGGCATGGCCACCGTCTTCCCCGTGAGGATGGCTGTGTTCAGGAGTTCCGTGTCCTGCCAGAGAACCAGACACATCAAGTCAAGGGACAGTGTCCATCCAGTTGGTACCGGGCGATACTTAGGCACGCTCCTGAGGTGAGCGTTGGGTTGCTCCTGTTAGACACACCGTGGGACCGTCCTTAGGAACTACATCAGAAAAACATTCTTTGGAACAGAGTCCTAAGAGTGCTTGACTTTTGGCTTGCATGTGACTATCTTCCTTGCTTCCAATAACAATAAAGAACACATATTCTTTATTTAGTATTGCAGAGACCCGGTAGAGATGTACAGCAGCTGGGTGGCAAGTAACAGAAACCAATTTTGAGTATTCCGGGAAGAAAGGTACCAAATTGGGTTGACTAATGCCTGTCTCTACCTGCAAAAAAGATGCTCAGAGCCTGGGAGCATGGCATCTCAAATGGTATGATGGCTAATCTCATTTGTCAACTCGACAGCCTGGGAAGAGAGGAAAGCTCAACTGAAAACTTGCCTCCGCCAAATCTACCTGTGGGGTATTCTCTTGATGGATGACTGATGTGGGAGGGGCCTAGCCCACTATGGATGGTGCTTGCCGCTGGGCAGATGCTCTCAAGGTATTTATGAAAGCGGGCTGAGCAGGTCAGGGAGAACAAGCCAGTAAGCAGCACTCCTCCAAGGAGTGCTGAAGACAGAAAAGGCGAAGGGAGACAATTTCTAGGAGGGGCATGGCCCTGCTGCAAGCTAGCTTTCACCTCGGGTTGCAAACCTCTACCTTTCAGAAGGGAGATAGGGTGAATCCTCCCTCATGTCTCAGAATGTGGAGTAGCTGGGGCTACAAGTGATGCTTTACTCATAGAGGGGCTTCCTTTGTCTGTGGTTGTCTTTGCAGTGTTGGGCATGAGAGTGGGAGCCTCCTACAAGCTAGTCAAGTGCTTTGCTACTGAGCCACATCCCCAGCCTATAGGTTTCCTCTTTGAAGTGGCTTTTGATTGTTTGTTTCTGTTTTGTTTTGCTAACCGAACTGTCTCTCTCTGCTGTCCCTTGGGAGGCAGCTCCACCACACCCACAGGTAAGGCTGCTCAGTCTCTTTGGGTCAGTGTTCTGTAAAATTGCAAGCAGACTCTACTGAGTGACAGAGAAAACACTGTTCTTTTGAGTCTGCAGGGTGATTACCACCTGCATGCAGTCCTCTTGATGGAGGCACAAAGATGCAAACAGACCTCTGAGTCTAGGGCTCTACAGGCGCCTTTCACCTAGGGCTCAGTTTCCCCCAAGTCCCTCTCCACAAACCCTGCTTTTCTTCAGGGTGACATTTTAATTGAAGCAGACACACATCACAGAGAGGGTCCTGGTAAAAGCAGAGCCCCAGATCCTCACAGTCGGGTCCATCACCCTGCAGATGAACAAGGCTCTGCCTGCCTCCACAGAGTGCACGGGAATCCTGAAGTCAGGTTCCAATTATGGGTAGCCTTGACTGCGGCTATTAGAGATGCTAAGATTGCCAGGGGAAATCCCCAAGTCAAGGTCATTACAGGTTGTGCTCAGGATTGTCTTTCATTTTCTCTCTCTTGGAATGGTCTTCAGCGAGAGGCTTCATTAAGCAGTGTGGTTTCTTATGGGCTAATTGTGATTACCTTCCTAAATGGTTGTTACAGTTTCACAACTGCGCGCGCGCGCGCGCGCACACACACACACACACACACACATCATTTTCGTCGTCATTATCATCTAACGTTAGCCCTTATCTTTGGTAAAGCCTAGTTGGACGTCAGCAATTTCAGCCACATCGGTTTCAGGGATTAACAGTCACAGAAATAAGAAACAAGGGAAAGAAAACCCTTCGCCTGTGAAATAGCCTGGCTCACACTCATGGGAGAAGTGCCCTGTATTTAACAGCCATTGCGCTGGCCAGTTAACTTCTGCAAGTTTGTTGCTATGTGGGCAGAGAGAGTCTGGCATTCTGGATTCTTCCCTGGCTTTTCTATCAACTTCAGAATCACCTGGATCAGATTTATCAAGGTTCTTCGTGGCGAGGTGGCTATGTCATTTGTGACTATTTGACATCCCAGAACCGGTAAATCCAGATCACTGTCATTCTGAGTTCCTTTGGAGTACTGTACAGGATAGCACAGATGAGGTGAATAAAATATTTCTCAACGTGCTGGAGGCTGGAAGGAACAAGTCGTGATTCCGGGTCTGGCGAAGGCATATAGCTAGAACTGTGTATGCTCATGCACACCTGCAGGGGTGCCCGTGTGTGTGCCCATGTCTGTGTGTATGTGTGTGCATATGTGTGTGTGTGTGTGTGTGTGTGTGTGTGTTTAATACCAATGGAGCAGGCACATGTTTTGGTTCTTTAACTTCCCCAATACCTTTCCAGTGGAGTACAGTTCCTAATGATGTGGGTAGCATACTAGGAAAGAGCCTAGCATCACACTGTTTTCTAAAACCCAGACTCCAGCGGGAGCCCTGGGGAGGCTTTTCACAGGGCCTGGTGGGAGCAGGGATGTCTCCCATCTCCTGACTTAGACCCAATCCAGAGAAGTGTTATGCTGCCACAGGCCACCTCTCCTCAGTCCATTCTGAACACGGAACAGCTCTGTCTCTGTCTCTCCCTCTTTCCTTCCCTCCCCACTTTCCGTGTGTGGGAGGTGGGGAGTGAGAGACAGAGATAAAGAGAGGGGACAAAGAGAGAGAGCCCTCTGTACGAACACATGCCATCCTGTTGGCTTTATGAGGATCAAACAGGGCCTCATGACTAGGGGGTCAGAGCCTCACGGGGCCATGGAGGTGTCACCACCACGCGGAGGCTTCACCACTACCCAGAGGCTTCAAGCTAATAATTGCCTCTCGGTTTCCCTGTCTCCCCGCTCACAACCCCATTACACACCAGGTAACTAGACTACTTTGCAGAAAAGAATCAACAATGCAAGCATGTTAAAGCATTCCTACATGCTAAAGCGTTCTCACATCAACTGCTATGTCCATTTCTGAACAAATTAAATTTTTTCTAATCTTTTCTATAAAGAGGATAGAATTACTTTTGATACATTAAGAAGTCTGAGATGCAAACGCACTAAAAATGACAGGGAAGTAACCAGTTGTGCCTGGGGTGCTTATCCCTGGAGTGTCTGTGGGGAGCATCCCCGGGTTCTCTGGAGAGGAGATTTTGGGTGTGAAAGAGACCAGGCAGAGTATGATTCAGCCACAACAAGAACTGGGCCACAGACAGGCTACCAGATAGGCAGAGCAGAGACACCTAACACCAGGTAAGACAATCTAGATCCAGCTAAACCATAGGATAGGAAGCCTATCAGGTTGCCCAGGGTTGGGGTAGGGACTATGTCTGTGGATGAGTTTAGGGCTCCCTTCCTGGCTGCTGAACACTGTAGAATCATACAGAAGCTCTGCACGCTGCAATCACATGCATGACAGCACATTCCCAGTTAGGTGGCAGGTTCAGGGGTGTCGTCATCTAAGCAGGGGGCACCCTGGTCTTCCATGTCCCGCAGGACTCTGTCCAATGACATGGCAGGATTACCAAAAGCACCACAGTGGATGGTCGCAGTCACCTAGGGTTGAAACATTGGCATCCCCTATGACCACCTGGGGTCATTTAGCGGTGTTGGGGATGGAGTAATTACTGTGGGCAGTCAGGTCCTCATCTGACCTTGCTGTCCTTCTGCTGGTCCACTCCTTCCTTGTACCTTGTCTGAGGAGTTCTTTGTCTTTGAAAGATATTTCTAATGTTTTCTCCCAACTCTCTGAAGATGAAACAAAACATAGCCCCATTGTAAGGGGTCCATATCCTTCATCTCTTTCTTTTCTTCAGTGACCAACTTTTCTTCTAGGACCTCCTGAATGACCTCATCTAGAAGAAGAAAGGTCTTCTCTGGATTCAAGAAAGGATGAGTTTCAGACCCCTGCAGCTCTTGTAGGTGGTACAAGAAGGGGAGATGAACCCAATACCAGACGATGCCAATAGGATCTGTAACCCTCCTTACTGGCTGCACTTAACCTCAGATACATTCATGAGGAAGTATCAGTTCACTGCAATGGGCTTGTGGCTGAGCCTGGCATAGAATAGGCACATCTCTATCTCAAAGTTAGACTCTCTTCTCTTCCTGGCTTAAGGCCACTTCTGTAGGCCCTTGTCATCTGGGTCATCCTCATCTCCCATATCAGCCTTCCCCATGGCTGCCAGTGGGCGCCAGATACCCAGATTTCCCTCTTTAAAGGGACAGCAGCCACTGGGCCAGCAGCACTCACTCGTAGGCTTTACTTGAACTTGACTCCAGTTCAGATTCACAGGTGCTGGGCCTTAAGACTTAGCATCTTCAGGGGACAGAAATCTCCCCATCCTCCACAGAAATTTTTCATGTGAGCTTTCATTCAGTACAGCTTGTAGGGGGAGGCTAGTATCACTCCCACAGAGGAAACTGGGTCCTGGGACACCTCATCTCCTGGCAACCAAGCTACTTGCTGAGGTCCCTCTGTGTGCACCAGTCCCTTGCCCAGTTGATGGGAAGCAGACCCAGCCAGCATGGCCACAGTGTGGGAGCACCAATGTCAGAGGACTTTGTTTCTCTGGGAAGTAGCAGAGAAAGGTCCTGACCAAAGTGAGGCCATTACCTGGACTTCTCTAAGGTGAATGACCTCTTTGTGCCCTCTGCACTGATGATGTTAGAATAACAACGAGCTTATAGATTTCCCTCTGTAGAGGGGAGAGCACTCCACTTAATGTACCATCCTCTCTCCCAGTATTGTCTTTAGGGTCATTTCATAAAGTCACTGTCATCCCAAAGGACTCTGTCGGGGTCAGGGGCCGGAAAGAGATCAACATGATTCCCTGTCCCCAGGACAAGCTGTGCTCAGTCACACAGGAGCCTTCTGCCTGCACTGTGAATGCTGTTTCTTGTGGCACCAAGGCCCCAGTGTTCTGTGCTGCCGAGGACTCTGTGTTCTGACAGCGAGCATTCCTAGACAGTGCCTTGTTTAGCGTGCCTCTGTCCATTGGCTGCTTTTCCAGCCCCATC